AGAGCTGGAAAAATAAAAAACAATACAAATAAAATAAAAAATAAAAATAAATGAAAATCATTAAAACCATGTTGGGTCAAAATAGCTTTGTACCAGGCACATCGAGCAGGACATGCTGGCCTTTAATGGGTTGCGGTTTCTGGTCGAAAGTTTATACAAAATAAAAGTCTTGAACTACACTAAAGAATTTAATGTGCAGTTAATCATCTGTCGGGAGGGAAAGTTTGGCTTTATAGTTGTTTTGTAAGTTTCATTTAATAATGTTTAATTTTCCTTTTTTTTTTTTTTTTTGACAATTTTTTATATTTAATCAAAACCAAAGTTGGACAAATGAAGTCAGATAAATATCAGAAAAATAATATTTTTTGCAAGCTTTTAGATAAAAAGGTTTAAATGGATACGAATATTGGTTTGGAGAAATAAATGACCAATAAATGTACAATCCTAAGGCACCTAAATAAGAAACTTAACCTCAATAGATATTTATTTAAGTAAATGGATTTTAATATGAATTAATGGCAGCTTATTTTGAAGACACACTATTCTTCCTCCAGTTGCTAGCTCTACATGATCTCTTTGATAGCTGTTCGGACTCCATTGCCAGAATAGGATTGCACTTGACACATGTCACATGGCAATGAAGGAATTATTGCCATATAAAAAATTTTGATTATGATTATTATGTTGTGGAGAGTATCATGCACCGCAACTCAGGTGGTCTATTGTGCTAACTACAGCTATCTTAATCAATCCTTAAATTTTTAGTGAGCATGTACATTTTGGATGGTTTTGTTTTCATCCAAGTATGATGTGGGAAAATGATTATTTACCGAAGATGCGGAAAAGTTTTTGAAGGATTTATATACATAAGAAATATTTATATAAGATTTTAATCAATAATTTTATAAAAAAAAGCATTGCGGACTTTATTGTAAAGATACACATCAATTACGAAAAGTAATCTAAGTGAGTCAAATCCAGCCAATTAAATTTAAAATTAGTTAAGACTGAATTCCAAAAATATAAATAATTATAAAAATTAAAATATATGAATTATTTGTGATTTGATTTAGATGAAAATATATTTGTAACTACTTAGACTATATTTATAAAAACTTATGTATATATATACATATATCTTAAGATTTAAATTACCCATTGTTAGTTGCTGTATGAAAGAAGAATGTGTGAGAAAAGGAAATAATATTGTGTCTAAAACATAAGCTGAAATCATTTACAACTTTTATAATGTTTATAAATTCTTTGAAATCTATTTAATTACCTTCAAAGTACTTACTTTTTGACACAATACAATAAAGCCAACTTATTTTTTAATCCTGGACAAAGTACGCAACGACTGGATTTTTCTCTCGTCAATCGCATTGAAATAGTTCCTCCCGAGTGATCCTCTACCTTTAGAAATAGCCAGAATGCATACTAACATATGCTAAATCAGACCAATAAGATGGTTGGAAGACGATATGAGAGCTGTTGATCGTACAGACTTTGACATTAATGCATCCTTGGTATATTATAACTAAAAAAAACGTATATAATTGAGAATTCTAATATTGTTAAAAAATAACAATATGTTGAAAACTATCTCAGGATAAAATTCTGTAAACATGTTATTATATTTTAAAATAAATTTTAATTATATTTTAAACATACATACATACCTATAAATTAGATATATATGTATAAAATACTCCTACTGCAAAATTTGCATTATATTATTTTTAATAAAAGTTTGAAAAATGTTTCGCTATAAAGGAACAAGTATCACAATAATATAATGCTAATTTACACTTGAGCATAGAAACACGAAAACATTTGAACCCTTTTCAAAATTTTTATTTAATTTAATCAAAATTAATAAAGCGAAAAAGTGAAGTTGTAATGAAATAAAATCCTGGAATTTCAAATTATGATTTTTATTAAATTTTAACCCTTGTCCAATTAATCAACTTGCCGTCGTCCTTTTCTATTTCTCTCGCAATACGAAGTGATTTGAGATATGGACTATTGTTTAGTATTTTATTCATGGAGTGGTTTTGAGGTTAATATCAATACGGAAGAGACACAATTTACATATTTAATTGTATTTGACAGCACCAAAGACCAACTATGACATAAATATTGATCCCTTACCATCCATACATATTTATCGAGTAAATATTTTAGAATAGAAAATGAAGAATAAATTGTTTTTAAAACATCTCAACTTTTTTTTTTAAATCTCTTTAAAAAGTGTTTAAATATGGATTGATTTTCACTTACAGATTAATTAAGTATAATTATTTAATAATTAAATTTGGCAGGACACGAGCTCAATTCCTGGTACCTGCAAACTCAAAAATAATTATTTACTTAATTATTTAAGTAAATAAATTATTTAAGTAAGTAAAATAATTATTTATTTTCAAGACCTCTAATGATGGGTATTTGGCAATACTCGAAACAGCTGTATGGTCAGTCAAAAATTCAATAAATTGAAAATAATATAGAATGAATTTTTGTTGTTGTAGTTCACTACTGTTCGAAAAACCTTTTTATAATAATTTAATAATAATAATGATAATAATAATGATAACGCAACACTAAATTCTCTTTTTTTATTTTTTAAGTGCCTCCAAGGATATGATATGCTATTGCCAAAGATTTGGTAACCTTTAAAAAAACGGAAAGGAAGACAGCGGAGAAGAAATTTGCATGAAGACATATAATTGGGAAGATAAAACTGAGATTGATTTGCAGCTCCATTGTAGAAGAAGAACTTTTATCGGCATTACAACAATTTTAATAATATCTGTAATAGCAGTTCGTTAATTATCTGAATACACGGATTCCCAAGAAAATATTATAAGTATCGACTCTTTGCCAACAGTCGAGGTGAATATAACTCTATGTTTCAAATTTTTGTTCATTTATAGATATTTCAAGTTTCAGAAGGTACGTAGGTTGAGGGCTGAAATTGCGACAGTCTTCATTTGGACTGTAGTCTTCATGTATTGATTACTTGCGGTGCTATGAACTTCTTGTTTTGAGTTGTTCTTGTGCTAGTGTTATGGTGTTCTAAATGTATTATTGAATTAAGAGCTACCTATATTAGAATTTTGTGCACAAACTATTTCTTCCTCTTTTTCAGGGCAGAGGCTGCAAAAGGTTTACAAGAAATGTTATTAAATGTGAGTAATATACTGCCAATAAATAATTAAAAACTATTTTAAAATCACTTTTTTGTAGATTTCAGTAACGAAAATCTCAATTTTGATGCAGAAAAAATCATTTTATATCTTTTTCGTGTCATATCTATTTAAATTAAAGATATTTTTTTCATAAGAAAATATTTGCAATTAATTTTTACTGTCTGTCCACAGATATTAAAATAAATATTTAAAAGAAATATAGGTTTTGTATTCAAAGTTTATTTACCAGTAAACCTTGAAAATGATTTTCTGATGTTAATATCCACATGCAATCTATATTGGAGATAACAAAAGAGGAAAGTTCACCCTCCCACAGGATTTATTATTATGGTTAAAATGAATGTATCTATCAACTAAATTTTTATGCCCCAAGTATTTTCTTATTAAATGCAAATGAGCAAGCAAACATACGATTATATGCTGTGTCTAGTGATATGTTCTCTGGTGTTCTCGTAGCTGGTGCTGCAATGAATATTCTGCATGTTCTGGATAACAAAATTGTTGTTGCGCCCATAGCAACATGTCGTACTCGTATAATATAGGAAATAAAAGAAAAAAACAAAGTAAAATGCTTTATCCTTGTCAGAATTTGTTAATGTCAACTAGAAACTATTTCAGCAGAAACCGAAACCGAAACTGAAATTGAAACCTATTTCGACTGCTGTCATTCGTTGTTATTGTAGATGTCAATGATGTTTCCTTTATTGTTTACAGAAAAGCATGTTATGATGTGCTGTTAAATGACAACTTTGACATATCTATTGGACACATAATGATGCGAACAATTTTCAGCAAAAATTGAGATACTTTCAATAGTTGTGAAGTTGCATTTCAAGTGCAAAGATACGGTTATTGCAAATTTAGGGAATACTTGTTTTTTTTAGCAGAAATTAATAACTAAGAAGTTTAATTTTATTACATTAAACCTCTGACGTTATATACATTGAATTGTCCTAACATTTAGTTATACCACCAAAGTCGCGTATTATATGGCATATCTTAGAAAGTATATAGACTAACCAGCAGCTAATCAATAAACACAAAAAATATACATAATAATTATTTATATACCCCAATATTTTACCGACTACTAGTCATTGATCGACAATTGTTTGAATGACGACATTTTTCATATTTGCAAAATAATTTAAGAAAAACATTAACTCTAGCAATGACATCAAAAGTTTGATAAGAACTCTGTTCTATCACAGCCAACCTTGTTGATCGTACATACTTCGAGGTAGGGTCCTTATTAGTCATTAAAAACTTCCATCGGTGTGACGTGCGTCCACATTAACTCTAGCAATGACATCAAAAGTTTGATAAGAACTCTGCTCTATCACAACTAACCTTGTTGATCGTACATACTTCGAGGTAGGGTCCTTATTAGTCATTAAAAACTTCCATCGGTGTAACGTGCGTCCACATTAACTCTAGCAATGACATCAAAAGTTTGATAAGAATTCTGCTCTATCACAACCAACCTTGTTGATCGTACATACTTCGAGGTAGGGTCTTTATAAGTCATTAAAAACTTCCATCGGTGTGACCTGCGTCCAGGCCCCGCTACTGCTGCAGGTAATTAACCTTGCCCCTCGTCTTGGTGTGATACAACAGTGTGCCTGATAGCACTAATCTATTTTACAATTCTCATATCATCTAACTACAACATATTCTTTTGTTAAAAAAAATTCAAACTGCCATTATGCATTGCGTTAGTATTTTATTAATATAAAATTCAGCTCATGTTAACCATTAAATATAAATATATCTACATATATCACCTACATATACCACCTACATATACCACCTACATATAAAAAAAACCTGAATTTTATTTTATGGTAATTTACTTTCTGTATAAACTCATGAACCAATTACTTTTGACTCTTACATATTTACATTTTTAAGTTTAAGACGCATCGAAATTCTTGAAGTATTATTGAAGCCCTTAATGGATATGCGTATTGACCAATCCTAAGCGTATCCATTATTTTTCACATCTGTGAATTTTTCTAAATTAAAATATTTGCAAAATACAGATTTTCTTACTAATATCACTTACTATGATATTTTTTTTATCCAATTAGATGATCGAGACCACTGGCGGACCATGTCGTACTTTTTTTCACTTAGAACTCGAAAACCCGTCGCAATATTGTCATTTATTTGTACTTGCGGACAATCGCCAAAGCTACGTGGCACCGACTCAAAAGTGATTCTCCAGAATTGCTCACATTTCTGTAAGAACTGGAGTTTTACTTTCTTTGATCTACTTTCAGGACCAGTATCTTGATATTTTATTGGTGTTACCTCCGGTGTTGGAACAACTACTAATTCGTTTGATTTGTCGAACATGCCATGAAAGATTACTGGACCTAACATACTAAAAGTCATGGTTTAAATTATGTATTCCGTTTGAGGAAAACTAAGTTTTCAATTTCCTGCTTTAATCTAAACGTTATTTAGATATTCACACTTTTTTCTTTAAATTTGTTAATTTTTAACTAATAGAAAAGTATTTCAATGTTTACCTACTCGGATGTTAAGTCAATTTGAAATTGTGCTACTGAAAAATAATAGTTTCTAAACTTGCTCTGACGAAATGAGTGCCTCACAACTCGGATTTGTTGTCTCAGATTTTTTTAGTGGTTCATTAACTTAATTAAAATTTAGTTAATGATTAATTAATATTAAGTTGTTTCTTTTAATCCAGATTTTAAACTTAATGTATTGTGTTTATGTATATCTATTATTATTGAATACGAATAGACTTGTCCCTTTGTAACGACTTTTTATCGGGGTCGTTTCGATTTACTGGGATATTCTCAGCAAATCAGGGTTGTCACAAAAAATTGTGTGACCGAAATATTCAAAAGGCCTTGTCGTTTTATATTTTGATGTTTTATTATTTAGTATAAATCAATAAGGTTAGTCAGTTAATAATATTAAGAGTTTTTAAATTACGTTATGAATGAATAAACCAATTAATGACGTTTGTTTCTTCCACGCAATCCGGAGACACGTAGTGATTCAAAACGTTCTTGGCCTGTGATTTTTTTAGATGGTGATCTTCTTCATTTAGTTCGTTTATGGGATTATTAAGCCGTGATACGACCGAACATAACGATTAAATTATACTTGTGGTTTGTCTATATTCTACAAAGTTATGGCATTTACAGTAAACGGAATGCAACCATTCGAAATGATATAACTATGTTTTTGTGTTGGGGTTTCTTGACCGTGTAAATTCTCCAAGTTTTTATTATTTACCGTAGATGGAATGCGACCAATCGAAATGATATAATTATGCTTGGAATTATTACTTCTTAATATAGAAATTTCATATGTGCAACGAATGCTAATATGGACTTGTGTTTTCTAAGTTTATATTTCAGGTCCCTTACAAAAGAAAAGTGCTCATCTTATATACCCAATCGACCGAGCTTTTGTATAGATTATACTACATTCTAGTACATGTATGCATACTCCATTTTCTTTGATCCTCTCTTCAGACTGTCTTCGAATTTCTCTTACGGCGAATAGGTATGTTGACTTTTCTTATTTTGCTGGTTTATTTTAAAACTTGAGAAACGTGATTTAATGTATCTTCGGTTAATGGTGGTTTTATTTTTTTTATTTGTTATAATAAAATATATACTAGAAAATGTTTAATAAAATAGATATAATTAGCAAATAAATAAGACAAATGTATTATTCATTTTTTTAATTATATTTCCATATTTTTATTTCATTGTAATTGCAGATCACTTTGATGTGTCAAAGTGCAAGCGGGGTGGATTTTAGTAAGTGGTTTAAAATAAATATTTTAACTGTTAATTAATTTATTTTAATTTCAGACATTTACACATATTCCTGGTAAGTGATTATTCTGCGTTTAAATCACGAAAATCTACTCTGCAGGTTTGACGATGCTGAAGTTAGCTTATATAATTGTTAAATTCGATGTGTGTATACGTATATATAATAATTATATGTATTGGTCACATGCTTAAAAAAATAGCACCCTGTATAAGAAAACAAGCCACATGTTGGAATCCACAAGATAGCCGCCAGCCTGAAGCCCCAACTAAGATATGGCGAAGAATCGTAGACCAGCTGCTTTAAGTTCTTTAAGTACACAGTAATCCTATAATCAAATTGCAAGAGAAGCAGGCGACAGAGTAAGTTTAAGAGGAATCGGCCCTATGCTCTACTAGGAGAGTAGGACAGCAGTTAGGAAGCAGTTGTTGTTTATATGTTGTGTAAGACACGACTAAAAGCTTTGTAAATAGTAAACTTGAAAAAATTTATGTATAATAAATATATATGTTGGTAGTCATTTTAATATGAATATACCATAATCTGCTAATATAGGCAACAAAAGCAAAATGAAAGCCCATCAGATTTTTAATATTTTTATTGGAATCAGAAAGTTGCTAGAAATTTAATTTCGTATATATACTAGAATTTTATATTAGTTATTAAAAACTTTTAATGAAATCAAAATCCACTTACAAACAACAAGGAACAAGGAAAGCTTGATGAAACATCCAAAAATATTATTGTAATATTAAACACTCCAATTTGTTAAGTCGAAAAATAATAAAACCCGAAGAAAAAACTTGTAAAAACTTTATAAAAACAAATAATTACAAAACAATAATATATAAAACAATATAGTGAAATAACACATAACAAAAAAAAAGCTCAAATAAAGTATAAACAAAAAAAGATGCGATTCGTTGCACATGTAAGTAAGTATCCTTTAGGATATAATTTAACAAGAGTTGAACAAACAGAACAAAACACAAGTGCTCGCAATGACACAATTTACCACATACACCACACATGGACTCTATGAGAGTCCATATACATACCTATATATATATGCTACATATATATGTACACATTTTTTGCAGATATAATTTTAATCCCTATTACTGTACATATGCTACGCATTGCTAGTTGGAACGCCATGAATATACTACTATCATAGCTAAAAAACAGGGACAAAGGCAGTAGCTACTGCCAGATGAAATTATATGAGTCTACGCAGCATATGTTTGGCTTGACAATAAAAAAACAATTACTCCGAGACCCACAACAAAGATGTGAAGCGGATTGGAGCACATCAACGACTGATAGATTGCAACAGAAGTGAGTATTGAGTTCCACGCCGAAAGGGCAAAGTTTTAAATTTAAATTTTCAATTTTCAATTTTTTATATATGGGAAAGATAATAATAAATTTGTTGAAATAATAATATAGTAAACAAATTAAAAATCACTATAGAAACTGTGAAATATAATAATGTATTATTACTATAAAAAAGTTTTAGACCTACTTAAAAGGGTATCTTATACAAATTTAGATGTAAGTGGGAGAATATATTATTGGAAACTGCTAGAATATTATTTGATGACTTTATATAGTCATTAGAATTGCTTTTTTTATAAGCAATTTAATACAAAAACAAGAATAACATTATTTTGCAATATAGTTATAACTTATTTTCTAACTGAGAAAGTTAAAAGTGATCAATATTTCTAATACCACATAAATATAGAACATTTTCATCATTTTACAGGGGTCTGGGAACCATGAGAACCATCAAACGTAAGATCAAATTCAAATGAACATCTCGTGCAGAAATTTCTTTCTTAAGCTCACATACTTCAGTATGTCAGTTTCTCACTACAGAAGCAAGTCTATTGGCCAACCGTACTCCAACAGAGTTCTTTACTCTACCGCTAAGGTGGAAGGACTCCCTTAATAGCTGTTGTCCGTGACACGCAGATATTTAGCTCATCGCTAAAATCACTATCCTGATATTCTACACATTCCTTGCTCTGTATTTTACTAAGATCGATCAATCTCGCTTCAGAAATCAGCTGTTGAGTCAAATATAAAACAATCCACATTGAGAGTATATATGTACTTAAAAAATCTGAATTCTTACTTTAATAAAGATAATTAGTGTCTTTACACCTGGTGTAAATAAATTTGGAAATGTAAATACTTAGCTCCTTATCTTTCTATCCATGTTTATTGGAATGTCATTTTAGCCGGAATTCTTTTACAGTGAGGTGGTTGGAGTCTTCTCAAATCATTGCTAAGAGGTGTTTTTGATGGGTTTCGATCTCACTCTATGGTGTTTCATGCTTTCCACCTACAGCAAAGAAGAAAAATAAAATAAAATATCTCAGTGCTCCAAAACTCAATTCTATATGCCACTTTTTTTTTCCTATATCTACAAAACAGCTATTACTATTCCACTTTCTTCGTTAAGCAATCTTGCTAAACGAATGATTATCTCGTCTATATGAAGTTCAACTTCCAACTAAAATAGTCTTCTAGAAGCTAAATACTCATTTTCCGATCTTATACAGTAAGTGACTGTATAAGAGAAAAATTATCGCGCATTTATCTTGAAACATTCTTTATTATTTTTTTTAATAAATTGAATTTTTAGCTGCCCAAACAGTCGTTGTGAGTATTGATCCATATATCCATAAAATATCCATCACAAATAATTTTTTGAGACTGCAACTATCAAGGATTGAACTCATACCCTTGAGTACCCTGAGCTGAATTTGAGTCTTCCTCCTCCTAGTTATTTTGATGTGCAGAAAGATATTTACCACATTTCTCGTGAAGATGTCGTAATATTGCATTCGGAAATGTAGACATACACCATAATCATATTACATTACTCATACTTAGAGCATTGTAAGAATTATTTTTAATTCAATGCTTTTCAATTTTTAATAATGAAACTGTATTCGTTATGTTAAATATATCGTCGTAAGCTTTCTTTTATTTGTAATATTGTATTTTAATATTTCAGATTTTATTGATATATGAACACCATTGCATCATTCTCATTACTATACTACAAAAATAATTGGTTTTTATTGCTTCTCTTAAACAAAAGTAAGCAATTTAAAATGAATTCCATGTACTGCAGTCAAAGATTTTACTTATCAGAAATTTTTTCTCCACTTTGAATATCGAAGCGGCTTAAAACTATACCAGATATATCAAATATACCATACTGCATTTGTGTGTGTGTGTGTGTGTGTGTGTGTGTGTGTGTACGATCCAGATACATTCCCATAATAAGAGTTGAACAAATTGCATGCTCATCGTATATTTCGAGATAAAAATCATACAACAAATATGACCGACTATAAAATGTTCATTGTTTATTATTACAGATTAAAGAAAAATATTATTCAAGTCGATAAAACGGATGTGGGATATGGATATATATATGTGTGTTTACTCTCTGAGTGTGATGAAGAAGTGTGCGATGACGACGGAATGTGTCACAACACAACACAACACAGCACAATTCAGCACAATTCAGCACAATAGTTAAACCCTTAAGGCGTGTTAAGGGTTAAGCGGTAGCCGGGAAGTCGGGTAGTCGGGTAGCAAGCAACAAAACAGATTATTACACTTGCAAGGGTGTAACTGACACAAGCATACCAGCTCACACAGATACACAAACACACAAACACACACATATAACATAAATACAGAAACAGACTATTTGCTCACATTATTTGTATCTATGTGTCATTTGTGCACTACGAGTATTCAATGGCAATTTTATATGCAAAATTAAAATTTTTATTGCAATGAATTTAAATGCGAACAACTTTAAAGCTGCTGTCACGCTGAAATAATTGTTGCTTTATTTCGCAAAATTATGGCGCACAACTGCACTTTCATGTTAAGTTTCACTTTTTATACAAATATTTATGCGAGTAGATATACGAGTAGATAGATGTACGGGTAGATATGGTATATTCCATGTGTGTATGGACGGGTGTGTGCTACAAATATGACGGTATTTTGAAAAATCAAAACTAACTGCTAAAAGGGAATAAAAAAGTGAAAAAGATGTTACGAGATACGTTTTTGCGGCCAACGAGAAACTCAAAATGTCAACGTATCTGTGTCAGAAAAAGTGGCGAGTGTCATGTGAGAACATTTTTCATTTTGTCACTGGTAACGCATATACGACGAGTATAGCATATGCTGATCATTTATCATTTGAAATTGTTTTCAAAAATTCCATTTTGCTTATTTTTAAATATTTTCATATACGAGTAGCAGAAAATATTTGAAAATTTCAACTCATATTCAAACAGAAAAAAAGCCATTTGATAAGAATTCCTTTTTGTGTAAAAGAATTTTTCCATATTAAAACACAGATCCATTTTCGCATTTTTTTTTTTTTTTTGTCGAGAAGCATGAATAAGCATAGAAGAGTCTAAGCACTTTTCAGCACCTTGTCATAATTTTCGATTTAAGCACGGGTTGAGTCGAGTCTCAACGCATCGGAATTTTGTTTATTTTAAGCATCAGCATTTGTGCAAATGTGCAAATGTTTACCCTTTCTTTCGAAAACTTTCGATTGAGATAAAAAGATGAGTTCTAGAGAGACTGAATTTCTGCGAAACTATTTAAACTTTTTTTAGAAGATATTAAATTTTACTATAAAACAAGAAAATAAGATGATATTGACTAATCTCTGTTTTTAAATTAATATCTTCCCGTATACTTTAAATATATTATATAGCTATTTTAAATAAAACACATTTCCGATTAAAATTTCTATCGAATTTTTATTTAAAAATATAATTTTCCCTTACCATTAAGTGGGAAATAACATCTTATAGTACATATCCATCTGACATTATTTTTTTACGTCTTGCTTACAAATAATAAACAAAAGCTTGGCCAACACTTAATAAATATATTTTCTCAGAGCATAGAGAAATTGGACTCTCAGAGCCTGTTACCAATCTGAGATTTGATAACGCGGTGTTGGTCCATTTATTATTGATCGGATCAATCTTGAGGTTCCTGAGGATGTCATTTGTTCTTATGTACTTTGGCATGAATATAACTTCTTCTTTGTTGAGGAACGGCACCTATTTAAACTGCTTTGGCTTAATTTACTCCAATGGGGCGTTTATAGGTGCTTTATCTGGATACATTTCCTGACATTACACCATGGTATCAACCCCACACGGTGGGTCACCATGTAAAATAAGAAATTAGGACTTATTATATAGCGATTAGAATTGATGGTTTGTGTTACATCTTCACCATTTTCAAAAAGCAAGAGCTGAACATATCTTCTGACCAATGACACATTATACACTAACTTGTTGAGAATGCAACGTACTTTTGGTAGTTAGTTGTGGATTTTTGCTGCCCAGAAGACTATGAAGTTGTTTGTTGATATATCCACAAAAAATAGAAGCTTCATCATAACTCTGGAAAAATTTTTTTATTTTTATTTTTTTTTATTATTTTTTTACTATTTTAACGATTGTGTTGTCTGACATTAGCACTTACTAAGCTGCATTCTGATGCTTTTAGCCGAGAAGCAACTATTTCAAATATATACAACAGTCATATAATGATACCACAGGAATAGTGTTGGTTCGTACATAAAGTAGAAGGTTAGTGTATGGTCAACGCTGGAAAAAAGGCACTCAGATCAGTAAAGAAGGAGCCGCTAAGATTTTTGATCTTCTCTTATCTAATGATGGGCAACTGACCTCCTCGTCCTCATGCTTTAAAACCTAGTCTCAAAGTATGCCTGCCTACCTATTATGCATTGACCCGTCAGCACAAATACTGTAGTGCTGAGTAGTTTCCGCTTTAGTTGAAGTACTTGGTTGGTACGTTTTTTTGTCCAAATTATACCAAATTAACCTAAAGCTAGAATTATAAAAATAATAAAAATTTATATAGATATATTGCATATAGTTGTTAGAAAAGGGAGTCATAATAGGATTGTGGTTAATATGTTAATCAGATTAAAGTTTGGATATAAGGTGAACAATTAAGTGGAATATATAGTAATAAAATAAATGATGCACCTTGATATTAGTTATCAGAAAACGAAATCATATTTATTATATGGAAACTATTTATATATTATTGGAAAAATGTAAATGTTTTGTTTACCAAGTCGTATGTACTTTCCTGTCTTTTAAATTTATTTTTTCTTAAAACTTTTATAAATATATCGAAACTTACTCGCCCGTCCTTGGCCTCGGCTTCGGCTTCGGCTTCGGCAATCATGCATTCTATATCATCATCTATGAAAGCTAAACCCAGATTGATGATAACCCGTCGAAGGTCAGGCGTGGTAATAAAGCCATTTTTGTTTTTGTCAAATTTCTTAAACTCCCTGGAAAAGTCCTCTATTGGGTCAGCTTGACTCAGAATCTGTTTCATACACTCTATGAGTTCGTTAAAGTTAAGTGTTCCTTTTCTGTCGTAGTCAAAGTTCGTAAATAACTTAACAACAGCTCCTTCGGTTATCATAGGCACCATACAAGTCATAATAGTTAACAAGGATTCCAGCGTTATGTTACCACTGTTGGAGTCTTTAAACGTATCAAAATATTCCTTCAGCATAGCAATTTGTTTGTCAGATAGATTATTTTCCATTTTATTAGGTGGGTTTTAACATTTTTAAGCCCAGACAGTACTTTTTGAAATTTTGTATATTGTTAAAGTAATGAATTTAATACATTTCAATATGAATAGAATGAAATAAAATTGATTAAGTTTATGTTTTTTAAAGAGAACTTGATATTTTTAGAACAATTGCAAGTAAAATAGGTGTACAAATAATGGTGAACTGATAGTACAAAATTTAAATAATTAATTTAACGAAGTTTAATATTTACATTGTAAATGTATTATAGTAAATGTATTATAATGGCCGAATATAATATTTACTGAAGATATGAGATAATATAACAATTCCTCATATATCCTATATTGAATATTAATATTGACACTATATTCATTTTTATAAATTAAGAGCTTTACTAACTAACAGCTTCCAGTGGCTAATACATTTAACATATTTCAAAGGTTACAGAACTCACCAAGTTCAATCGCTGAGCTTGCTTGTTCCAACTAATATATGATATTCCACTAATGGAAGTTGAAGTGTTCGGTTATATATGACTACAATCTGAGACTTAGCTTATGATTAATTTAGCTATTTTGTTAAAAATGAAATCCCGGCACAAATTTTCGCCAAAAGTAATGCTTTTCTCTAAGAAGTTTCCTTAATATAGTTTATTACATTCACTTTTCATGTAGGTAAATCTGAGTACTATATAGTTTTATTTGCTAATGACCGCTGTAATAACTACTGTTAATAGGCTTTATTATCATTATATCGGAAAAACTATAGTCATTGTTGACTCTGAAACAGACCTAAGGTTAAACGTACTCATATTGCTATGTACTGCTTCGTACTGTCATTACTTTTGGTTGTATGATGTTGCTGTATCTTAACACTAAAGATCAATAAAATATGCTGTTATGCAGCATCAAGTGTTGATAGTTTTTTAGAATTAATAAGAGTTAATCACGAGTTAATAATTTGCTAGTTAATTTCTTGTTAATGTATATAATATTGCCACAAATAAGGAAAAAAATTGATGAAAATTTTTAATTAAAAAGAGAATCAGAACGAAAACAAATGTAAATATATTTAATGTATTTATGTACTTTTATCAGGAATATAAAACAAATTTAAAAATATTAAAATAATATTTTTTTTAATTTATAGCAACTGCCATATTATGAAGCATTATAGTTTTGTATATATACTAATAATAATATTGAGAAAAAACAGTACTTACAGCATTCTTCTATTCTATCTTAATTTATCTTAAAATTATTTTCGTTTATCTTTTAACTCGTTCATGGTTTAGTCTTTTGTGAAGTAACTTCTTTCTTTTCTTTCTCTCATTACCTGGTATTTAGATAATCTGTGTGCTGTTAATTCATGACAAATTTTTCCAGTACAGATTGACTAGATTAGTTTGTGAAAAAATAAGATATATTTTTTCATTAAAAATATCTTTTATAACCATAGCAGTTAAAAAAATGTAACTGTTTACTACTTTTTAAGGTAAACAAATTTTTTCCTAACATCTGGTATTTTCTCTTAGTTTTAAAACCGTGTGACAGATAATTTTTATATAATGTGAATTTATTTTTAAAATATTATTTTATTTAAATTTTTTTGTATAAAAAATTTTTTATATTTCTAAGTAAACAACTGCCTTTTATTATCTGCTTAAAAATACTCGATGATTGTATTTAAATTTTGTACTAAAAAAATAATCTTTTAATTTAATCTTTAAAAATCTTTGCAGCTACCTCTTATTTTTAATGAGCATATACCTATAGGACTTATAGCATATATGACTTCATATTGTGAGATTAAGTACTACAATAAAATAAATAATAATTTTTTCTAAAACAATTTCCAATAAAATTGATTAAATATGAAATTTAATTTTTTTATATTAAAATACAAAATTTTAATACGAATGTATTTCAATTAAATGCATATATTTTTTTTTTTTAATTAAAAATAGTTTATCACAAAAGAAACTTTTATAAAATATTTATAACAAAAAATTTCTAATATATTTTTAGCCATACCACCTACAATTTTAAGCTCCACCTTGAAGCGACTTAAAGTGCATTTATTTTTAAATGCATTTTAAATAGAAATATAATATAAATTTCACCTCACAAGTTTTCACCTCTTACAACGCATCCTTTCATTTTTCCAAAGGACGCATCGTAATACGAAAAATTCGTTTGAGAAATATTTGTATCGAACAGTACATCTTCCCAAGCGTTGCTACCATTCGCATCGAGTTGACGATAAGCACTATCAAGTCACCACCGACTTTTGTCACCATCACTGCAAAACGCTTACCCATGTGCTGTTGCGTTCCACAATTGTGACAACAGCAACAATTAGTTATTATTTCTTCAGGCTCGCTGAATAAGATCCACAATTTATTTTCATTGAAGCCGAGAAATTTATATTCATGTTGATAACAACAGCTTCCTCTGATTGGTGGATTGTGGATCTATTGTGGAATTACAACATTTCTCCTTCGGAAGGGAAAACTTTGTCATCAGTTTACGTTTATGCATATATTCGATGTGGTACAACTTTGTTGTCTTACATTTTTATATATAACATATATATTTCATACATATTTCTAAGTTTAAATAAAAATTTTTTAACAAAGTTATATTGGCAAAAATAAAAAGAAAATAGTTAAACTAAAAAAGCAAAATTAAAAAAAAATGAAATTAATTAAAAATTAAATTAAATTTTCCTATTACAAAAACACATTTAAATCAAATGAAACGAATTTATAACTTCAGTGAATTTGTTATAGTGAATTTATTATAGTTAATTTATACTGAATTAATAATATTGCCACAAATAAATAAAAAATATAATAAACTATAAATTAATACAAAATCAAAAGGAATATTTACATAAATATATTCAAAAAATTTTTGAATATATTTTTAAAACATATGTTTCTCCTTAAATTTCCTATAAGTTAAATATTATATACTATAATTTATCAGAAAAGCAATCAGAAATAAATTTGTTTGTATATTATATTAAAATTAAACTTAAACATATTAAATAGAAAAAAAAATTAATTTAAAAATCAAAACAATTTTTTTTTTTAAAAATATGTTTTTCCTAAATAAGAAATAAAGAATTATTTATTTTACACAAAAAAGTAATGGACAAATACACTAATTAATTTGTGAGAAAATTTTTTTTATAACAATTTAATATAAAAATCAAAAATAAATTTGTTTGTATATTATATTAAAATTAAACTTAAACATATTAAATAGAAAAAAAAATTAAATAAAAAATCAATACAATTTTATTTTAAAAAAATATGTTTTTCCTTAAGTAAGAAACAAAAAATTAAAAATTATAATGATAATATAAAAATAATTAATATATAAATAATATAACATTTATTTTACACAAAAAGTAATCAAAAAATTACACTTATGAATTTGTGGTAAAATTGTTTATTATATATTTCAAAACTATCGAGTTTTTGTAAAGTAGTGAACTACAACAACAAAAATTCTTTTTATATTATTTTAACTAATTAAATTATTGACTGACTATAAAAAATTACTGTTGTTGTAGTTCACTACTTTTCGAAACTTCTCTGCTAAAAACCGCAGTATTAAAGTAAAAAATAGTCATTATTGTTATATTGATGTTAAAATAAATTTTAATTTAAAAAATATCTTAAAACAGATTTATATCTATATCATATATATTTTTTAAAGATAGAATAAAAAATTTTTAACACAAATTAATAAGTGTTATTTTTTTTTATGTAATTTTTTTGTGTTTAATAAACGACCTAAGCCCGATCAAAATTAAAAATCTAATTTATAGAATTGGTCGTATTAAAAATTGATTATTTATATAATATTTAAAAAAATAAATTATAATATATAAATAAATACAATAATAATTATAATAAATATATGTTTGTGACAATTCAATATTATATAAAAAGAAATATTTTCTTAATGTAAAAAATAATGAAATGCACTAATGCATAAATAAATCCAAAAAAATAAATAAATTATAATTAGAAATTATAAAATCAAAAAATTATAACATTATACAGAAACAAAGAATATGATCTATAATATAATAGTTTTTTTTACTTCACTTTAAAAATAGTTTTTAAGTTTTATATTTTTAATAAATTATTTCTAAGGGTTTTTTATATTTACACTTCCACCGAATTTTGAAAATTATTATACATTATATCAATAAAAAGTGAGTATTTTTCGTTTTTTTGTACTTATATATGATTAAGTAATGAATTTTATATACAAATTCAAGCGAAAAACTATTATCATTATTTAAAATAAAAATTTAAAAAATTTCGTGTTATGCAATAAGTAAAATATTTACATGAAATTAATTTATTATAATTTAATTTATAAAAATATTATTTAATTTTTTTACATTGTTTTTGAAAAGTTTATATTGTATTATATTATGTGATAAACAAATTATTCAATATAAATGAAAGGATATATAATTTATTTTTATTTATGTTAATTTTTTATTTGTTTCAACGGAAAATTATTTCTTTAAAAATATTTATTATAAAAAATTGTAACTATTAAAAGAAAAATTATAATAATATATTTTAAATATATTATAAATTTAAAGTAATTTTAAAATTACTTTAAAATTGTATTTTCTTTTTAAATAAATAAATATAAGGAATTAAAATATAAGTTTTAAATTTCTTTTAAAATGAATGAATTTTATAAAATTTTTGAAAAGTGAATACAAGCAATTAAAGTTAAAAAATACTTTAAAAATAAAATAAATAAAAATTTATAATAATTTTTTTAAGATTTTATTCAATTTGTTAGTAATTTTGTCATTGCAATTATTTTTTTTGTTAACCTAGAGGTAGGTGTCAAGGTCAAGAAGGAAAATGGATTTCTCGATATAGACAATATTTTCTTATGCGACAGATTTGTGACATTGATTGACAAATTCATAACCGCTAAATAAAATCTAAGCTTATTTATATCTAACACGTGAACGAGACATGACTGAATATATTCTTTTTCACAAAGTGA